GCCCGGGTATTCTGAAGTCGAATCAAAGTTTGTTGATTTGTTGCTTGAAACTGGGGCAGCGCAACACATATACCAACCTACGCGCATGACGGCGCGTTCGAACCCATCGTGCCTTGATTTGATGGTGACAAATTGCGAACAGCGGTTGCATGACATACGAATCCAGGAGCCCCTAGCTAAAAGCGACCATTCCGTGCTGATAGCCACTATGGAACTGAACTTGCCGAGTGTATCTCCGGTGGAACCAGCTTACAACTACTGGAAAACTGATTTCGATGGATTAAATCGAGCAGCGAGCCAAATGGATTGGTCTCTACCGCATGTTACATCTGTGGAGGACGGTTGGACAGTAATAAAGGAAGGATTGGCTTTGCTTTGTTCTCAGTTTGTGCCGTTGAAATTTCAGAAAGTCGGACCAATCAAACCACACTGGTTCGACAAGGAATATGGTAGGCTGGCTCGGTTACGGCGAAGAATGTGGGACGCATTTCGCCTCTCTGGCTCCGCCACTGATTACGAAGCATATAAAAGACAGCGAAATATTTGCAACAAAGTGAAATTGATAAAGCGCCGGAAGTTCGAAGAAAAGCTTGCAACTGACGCGAGGATGGCCCCAAAGAAGATCTTTGCTTACGTGAAACGCCGTTTGAAGCCAAAAGGTGACGTGTCATGTCTGGAAGACGCGGACGGACACCTGCTAACTTCCAGTTCCGATCGCGCGTCCGCACTGGCCGCTCACTTCGCTTCCGTGTTTGCAAACGACGCGGCATCCATACCTATCTCAGCGAGTAACATTCCTGTAGAACTCAACAGTTTGGTTTGTGATGTCGACGAGGTGCGCCTGCTACTTGCGAATCTTGACGGTACCAAGCCTGCAGGGCCTGACGGGCTTCATCCGCTAATTATCAAATCACTAGCTGCCATTATCTCGCCTGTGGTTACGGATCTATTCAACAAATCATTGTCTGAGGGCTCATTGCCAAACGACTGGAAGCGCTCGGTGTGGAGGCCGATCCCGAAAGGTGGCGACGCCAGTAAGGTGGATAACTACAGGCCAATTTGTCTTACACCCGTTTTGGCCAAAGTGATCGAGAAGATAGTAAAAAAGCGTCTAATACATCTGTTACAATCGAAAGAACTTCTGACACCGGCACAACACGGATTCAGGATGGGATATTCTTGTGTTACCAACTTACTTGTGACGAGACAGGAATGGTTGCAAGCACTGAACCGGGGAAAGTCCGTCGACGTAATCTACATCGACTTCAGCAAAGCATTCGACAAAGTCAATCATGAATTGCTTCTAGACAGATTAAGGTCGTGTGGTGTCGGAGGATCGTTACATCGATGGATCCATGAATTTCTCGTTGGAAGAAAGTGGAGGGTACAGGTGGACGGCCATCTAACCGATTGGTATCCCTCGACCAGTGGTGTACCTCAAGGTACGGTACTGGAACCCACTCTGTTTCTCATCCATATCAACGTGCTGCCCCAGCTTCTACGGTCGCCGTGTGCATTGTTTGCGGATGACCTCAAAATTTGGCGAGAAATTAATACTCTCGATGACTGTGACATTCTCCAACAAGACCTCGACCGCCTCGCAGTATGGTCTGCTGAAGTCCACCTACCGGTCAACCCGGTCAAGTCCCTATTCATGAGTCTCGGGAAGGCTGTTCACGGACGAACGTACACCCTAGACGGCCAACCACTGCATCCCACACCTTCCGTGAAAGACCTAGGTGTACTCTCACGCTGCGACTTGAAGTCCGTCGACAACACCAACAAACTATATCGAAACGGACTGCGCATGCTCTGGGCGCTGAAACGCAGCTTCTGCACTTGGTCTGAGGACGTCGCCACTCGCCTCTTCTCTTCCATCGTCAGACCAATGGTAGAGTACGGCTCGCCTGCATATTGTCCGATCACTCGCGGCGAAGCGCAAAAGATCGAACGAGTACAACACATCGCCACCAAGTTGATCCCCAGCTTGAGAGGCTTATCGTATGAAAACCGGTGCATGAAACTTGGGCTCTACACCTTGTCATATCGCCGTGTTCGAGTGGATCTTATCATGACCTACCGTATTTTACATCTCGGTCATTTCCCCATGCTAAGGTCGTTACTCCACTTGCGAGTACCATGCACCACACGTGGGCACAGGTACAAACTCGTGGTACCTGATCTGAAGAAAATCCCACACCCCCTGTGTTTCGAGCGGAGGGTTGTGCACGCCTGGAACAGTCTGCCAGAACACGTCGTCGAGGCCGAATCTGTGCAGAAATTCAAATCTTTGTTGGATGTACACTTCGCTAACATACGTTTCAGAGAACGGTTGCCACTTGACAACGATATCACCCACTTGTGACTCACTGTGTAAACAAGCATTTTGTGTGTTACAGAAGGAGTTGCTGAACCATCTCAGGATAACCACCGGACGTGTTTATTTATTTTTTTTTAATGTTTTTTGATTATCACCCGATGGAGTTGTACAGAATTATTTTCTACTTGCTCCATAATACAGTATTCAGAAGGGGCCGTCTCACTACCATAGAGAAGAACGGCCCTCACTGTGGCCTTGTAAACTCGGCCTTTCAGACGGAAGGAGGACAGCAGAAAAACCATTTCAGCGGCTCGCTGAGGTGCTTGTACGTATCCAGTCATTTAGTTTCCGTATCCGTGAAGATAAGTGTGCCTTTTTTACACTAACCGTCACGTTTCTCAGCTTCTTTTTCTCAAAAGACGGTCGTCGCCCTGATACAGAAAATATCCGAGCTATTCAAACCATGCCCCCACCTGTAGACTTGCAATCGCTGCGTTCATTCTGTGGCCTAATCAGTCGTTACAGCGCTTTTCTGTCCGAACTGCATCGCCTGCGCGCCCCGCTGAATAAGTTGTTGAGCAAGGGCCAAACCTGGAATTGGACGTCAGAATGCCAGACTGCGTTCGATCGGGTCATGCCATTGCTGGCTTCAGTCCTACTCCTAACTCACTTTGAACCCTCCCGGAAAATTGTCCTTGCTACAGACGCATCGAGTCTAGGGATCGCTGCCGTAGTTTCCCGTACGTTCCCAGTGATCACAGAAGATGATCGCACATGCCGCCAGGACGCTGACGGAAGAAACTACAGTCAGATCGAGGAGGCATTGGCCATAGTGTTTGCTGTGAAGAAACTTCACAAGATGCTGTGTGGTCGCCGCTTCAAACTCTTGACGGATCACAAGCTTCTGCTGGCCATTTTCGGCTCGAAGAAGGGAATTCCTGCCTATACAACCAAACGACTCCAAAATGTGCACTCACCTTGCTGGGCTATGATTTTGAAATCCGGTATCAGTTAACGGATTCAATGGGCCAGGCAGATGCGCTGTCACGCCTCATTGATTCCCAGAAGCAAGAAATCGAGGACACCACCATTGCCTCAGTTGAGTTCGAACCGGATGTCAAACTCCTGGTGAGCGAGGCACTACATGATATGCCAGTTACGTCCGATGCTGTGCGGGTCGAAACGCCTCGAGATTCAATGTTGAAGAAGGTTACACACTTTCACAGGACCAGCTGCCCACGTTCATATTCATCTGCCGAAATGCAGCAGTTCCATCAGCGAAGACATCCTCTCTCCATTGTGAACGACTGCGTCATGTTCTCCGAGAGAGTATTCATCCCGAAGGCGTTGCAAGGAGAGCTGGGGCAGTTCCATAAAGGACATCCAGGGCTCAACGGAATGAAAGCGCTTGCCCGAAGTTACGTGTATTGGTTGTTTACGGACAGACAGCTGGAGCAGCTAGCTAGAATTTGTGGCAACTACGCTACCGCTTTAAGGGCACCGCCGAAGACTGAACTCCACTTGTGGCCTAAACCAACTAAACCTTGGAGCCGTGTTCATGTCGACTTTGCAGGCCTAAGCAATGGCCTGAACTTTCTCATGGTGGTCGACGCTTATAGCAAGTGGCCCGAAGTCTCCCTCATGAGAAGCACGAAAACCAGCGCAACCGTTTCGATGTTGCGACAAATTTTCAGCAGGTTCGGCTACCCTGAAACCTTGGTGACGGACAATGAAGCACAGTTTACTTAAATCAATAGATAAATCAATAGTTTATTCTTAAATTTAAAAACAAACCAAATCACGGAATTCTGCAACCGCTGCGCTATCAAACACGTGCGGTCTCCACCATTCCACCCACAATCGAAAGGCCGCTCACCTCAAATCAAGGAGGGAGGGAGACATAGAGGAGGTGATCAACCGCTTCCTCTTGCTGTACCGATCTACACCAAATCTACAAACGCGGGGTGGTATATCACCAGCAGAAACAATGAGGAATAGAAAACATCATGTCATTTGATGCAGTTCGGCCGTCTTCAGAGTCAACAGCTGGTGAAAGGGACCACAAGATGGAACGGGACTTTTATCGGCGGTATGGTGCCAAGCGATTTTCATTTAAACGTGGTCAGCCAGTACTTGTACGTGATTATAAGGCTGGACACGCAAAATGGACGTCAGGCCTGATCCAGGGCAAGCGCGGAAGAGTCATTTACGACGTGCTAGTTGGAATGCAGGTATGGGTACGCCATGCAAACCAACTGCGACCAACAACATGTCAGCAACAAGCAACAGAATCCGCGCAGCTTCCATTTGACTTGTTAACGACAGCTTCAACTTGCCTAGAGAGCCAGTAGAAGGCTCCTGTCCTCAGACGTATGGTGCCAGACCGCAGAGCACGGAATTCGAATCCAGAACACTACAGCCAAGGCGATGGACCGATAGGCAAATACGCCTTCCAGGAGGGTTCAGGTCAATCCCAAGCTAGCATCATACACCACGGCAGCTGCTTCAAGAGGGGAGGTATTCAGGAAAAGGCAAAAACATAAGGAAATCACTATTTCAGCAATTAATTGATTATCTTGGCTTGTGCAATTACTTCGAAGAACACTGAAACTTCCACTCCTTCACGTGATCGCCTGCATACAGAGGTTTGGCAGGGAGGCCGCTAATTGTACCAGCTGACCTTTGTTTTCTGGGAACCGAAGGTCATTGAGCTCACTATACATTTGGCGTAGACCTAGCGTAACAGTACAGCTTTTTGGCGGCATTTTTGACTACGTTGGCAACTTTTCGTTAACACGTTTTTGATGGTCAAGCTCGTTGGAATTTTGATTTTTCTTCTGCTGTGTTAGGATTTTTGCAGAGAAAGTTTGGTGTTTTAATTCGGAATAACGAGAGAAAGTGAAGGTCTAACAATTGATCATCCTGTAACCCTCAAGATGTGGCCTGGTGTCTGGGCAATTACAGGAGGCGCTTGGTCTATTGCCCGACTGGACCATCAAGGGTCCAACCAATAAACTGTGAAAAATGCCGCGGCTGACCGTTTGGGGCTTTTGAGCCAAGTAGAACTTATCACATTGGGGCGCTCCTCAAACAGGCCGCTCAAAAGAAAAGGTGAGGCGTTATACTCGCATCTGACTTTAAGAGCCACAAAGTTTATATTGAAAGGAGTCGCCGCTGCACACAGCAGCTGCTTTGCAGTACGAAAGTCCTGCTCTTAAATGATACCGAAAATCTGCAGGCTCCAGTTCATTTATTATCTCACCAGCCTCATTGTACACGTTAGCTAGAGGGAGGAATCACTTCAGCCATTGTACCGTAATATTTAGGGCAAGAATAAAAATCAGACAGAAGCACACCGGCTGTTGCCTATAACGGATTGGCATCGTTCCGGAAAGTTAACACCCGACAATTGTGCCACAAAATGTTACAGTATGTCCAGTAAAGGAGATCGTGGTAGGCTGGGGAGGCTAAGTGCGACGGAAAGGGACAAAGAAACGCAAAATCAACGCCACTGATATCGGCTCCATGTCATGTCAGAAAATGTATCCAGCCAACGTGCTCATCGTCGTTCGGAGGCATCCGCAGTACGCCGGTGCACAGTACAGACGCTTCCCTGACGCGCATGCACCATCGGTCACACGTAAGCTAAAGAGACTGCGAGGATCACCCGGTCCCTATGCAGGCCCAAACAGGCGCCCTCGGATTACGAGGCTGGCATGTAATCTTTCGGACCCCAAACAGGGAGCCAAGGCTCCATCGGAAGCCAAATGCTAAGTAAGTGCCTTCATTCCTCTTAACCAGGTCATTGCTTGGTTATCCATCCATCCTCTTCTAACTGTACGCCCTCGGCGAACAAACAACGCATGTCGCGGGAATCAGTGGGATGGCATGCGTAGCACCTGGCCTAGCCATCTGAGGCGTGATATAAGGGTGCTGGGCGATTCACCTCTTCTTCATGTGCCATATGCAAGGTGTCGAACACGTTCATTGCTCATGCAGTGTTTTCACCATTTACGAGCCAAACTGCGATGGCACCGGTGGTGGAACGTAACAAGCCTCTTTATGTCGGTTGATCTAACGGGCCAGGTTTCACCACCTTACGGCAGGGCCGAACGTGTGGTTGCATTGTACACTGCCTTTCAAAGAGAGAGTGATGTTGCGGAGAAGCCACAGGTGGCGGAATTTAGCAAAAGCGCCTCGTGCTTTGCTATATGGTTTGTCACCTCGTCTTCAATTCCAACTACGCTGCTAACACTAACTAGATAGTTGAATGTCTGGAAACATTTAACAAAGACCGTCGTCAATGCGCCGATAGATGAAAGTTTCAAACGGCTTTTGGACCCAGGACCGTACTGCCTTACTTCGACTGCTCCAGTTCCGTGAGGACTATCTGACCGAGACGAGCTTTTCGCCACTGGTGCTGAAACGGAGGTAACAGGGCTAACATGGGACTTTCTTTCTGCCATGTACAATTTAAGGTTCCTACTGCTTACGCTTTCGCGGCTGTCGTCTATTGCGGCAAATTGCCCCACAGGAAACGACTGAGCTGGCAAAGGAATTCTTTACTGCTCTATACAAACCAAGGAACCCACCATCGATTACCCGGCTACAACCATCGGACGGCTTATTGTCCGCTTTCCTTCCGCTTCCAGGTTCAAATCAGTGTGAAAAACAAAAACGGCTATACCGAATGCTCTTTGAACTATCAGGATTATACAGCGACGTACAAAAATGTTTGTGGGTGTTTGGTTACGAGTATGAGCTTGAGCGCCCGATTTCCAGCCCGTACCACAGTGAAATCGGTGTGGGAAACGTGGGCGTTAAAGTCTGATAAAAGGGTTTTCGCATACGCAAAAACCGTGACTAGCGTCGTTCAGCACATGGCCTTACTTTTATCCCATTCGGGTAGTTCGAGCGCAACAGTTCCGATTCCTTCAATGTCAAATGCTGCCCGAACAATTACTACCAGGTAGCAACCAGTGAGCACACAATTTGTGAATCGATAGAAAACTGCAGTGGTAAGTGCTGTCGATATTTGTTTAGACTGTCCGACTTTCGTCTGTCGTAGCTTTTTTGGGCAAAATCGGACAGTCACCGAATTGATATCCGTCACTGGACGGACACTTGTGCCATCACGGTGCCTAGATGGTGCGTTAAGATACTAAACTGTATAGGGAACATATAGGTTCCCTGAGGGGTGTAGCGATATACTTGACCGCCAGTTTATATTCGTTGCACCTCCTTAGAATATACCATGCCGTGCGCCCGCCGTTTCCTCGCTTTTCGTCTCGGCTGCTGTACTGTCGTAGAACGTTTGTGGACCAAAGCGGGACAAAATTATCTCTTACTTTTCAGCTCACTAGACTTGCTAAGGCCTTCTCAGCATGTTATCCAACCTCTGCTTGGAACAGCCCGCTGGTGCCGCCCTGACCGCATATTGCGGGAGGGGGTTCCACTGATTCCCGACCCGGGTAGAAAATGCGACGTCGGAGCGGACATGGTGCCGTCGCGAATTAAGCAACTTTTCATAAGGGACCTCGTCTCGAGTTTTCTACACAGAGTTAGTAGAACTTTTGCATCTCAATCCCGGAGCGTGCTTTTAGAATGAGTCTAGCGTATATCAGATCCCCACGACGAAGACGATCGTCCGGAGAGAATAAGTACATACGCTGAAGTCGAAGGGGTGAAGGCAATTCACGCAGCACTGATAGGAACTTGTAGCCAAGCCTCTGAACCTTCTCGAGTAAAGTCTATACAAACGTTGTGAGGGCGTATAGCAGGTAGTCCAGTTTTCAGTTTTAAGTAGACGTAGAAGGGAACCTGGAGCTAGAAGGTCACAGGCGTCATTTTTGTGTCATCATCAACACGTTAGCTGAGCGTGTGAAACACACCTCAGCTAGTGTACCGCAGTACCAAAAGCTAAGGTGCTAAAAAGGTATACTACATAGATAAAAAAAAGCAATATTAGTTTATAGGTTATATTGTGCGTTTTGAATGAGATGGTAGTCAGAGGGGAATCTAAACGAGAGGGATATGGACAAAAACGCAACAGAAAACTATTTGAAACGGCTACTAGCCAAATCAGCAAGTGTATCCAAGCAAACGCGTTCATCGTCATTGGAACCCCAGCCAGGCAGTCGGGATGCATCAACCTACCCCAAGTTCAAAGTGAGGGTTTCCATTTCCTTCGACCAAGTTATCGCTTGGCCTCTCATCCTCCAGCAAGCCAACTCCCGGCGCGCGAACAACGCACGTCGCTGGAGTCGGTGGGCTGGCATGCGCAACACGTGGCCCAGCCATCGGAGCCTGGTGCGTGATATGGTGGTGCTGAGCTGTTCACTCGCTCTTGCTGCACGAAAATACGCGACGTCGCACACATACATAACACACGCGGTGTTTGCACCATCGTTAAGCTGTGGAGGCAGCAAAGATGGAGCATTATCAGCCTGTTCATATCCGTCATCCTGATGGGTCTAGTTTCCCAATCGTACAGGGTCGAACGGACGGCTGCATTAGAAACGCGGCCCTTCACGGCTAGTTATGTCGCGGGGGCGCAAGAAATGGCGTGTAAACCATCGAAGCGGTCAGGTCCTCCAAATATGAAGTGGGCTGCGGATTGTATCTGCTTTAGCGACCTTATACCATTTCAACAACCTGATCTCACGTTTGACTTCATCCGGTGACGGCGGATCAAAGGAGATGTTCCGGAGAGAGGCACTCAATGCCTAAAAAAGAAAGTGATAACGCAGATTGGCTAAACTGTCTTGCAACATATTCGGCTCAAAGTCCCAAGCGATTTACAAATATTAGAATGGCTGCCAACCCACGTCGCGTATTGTCCCGCTAGCACTATGTCTCCTGCTGCTTGCTTCTCGTATCAAAGTAATAACGTACGGTGACCACCAACGGGAGCTGCTGTTTCCATTTGCGATGCACGATGAGACCAGTAGGCTTCGCGGTCTCATTAGGTCAGGACGCCGTTTTGCCCTGAGATTTTTGCGCGTCTCATCGCTTCCAGCTAGCATACGCCAGCGAGTATTCAGAAGTTGCAGAGCCAGTGTAGAGACCTTTTGGACAGGCTGGCAATTTGGTTTGCCACATGAAGACATGCCTGCTGATACTAACTTTTACCGAGTATGCGACCAGAGATAATCGACGATCTTCGGTGAAGGCTTACTCGGTCCCGATGCTAGCAGTTTGATGCGCGTTTAGAATACCTGGCTTTGCCAACTGGCTGGTGTCAATGCGCTCAGAGAGACGTTGCGGACGTCCGCCATAAAGCACCCGGAATAACAACAACAAACGATGGATCAGCTGTGCGCCGTAAAGGCGCTTCGCTGCGACGCGACCACCAAATGTCGCACGCAGCCTGAGTATACCGCAAGGACGCCCACCCCATACGCGGATTCGAACCAGCGCCGCAAGGTTACGATACAAGCTGGTTACCTCTAGGCTGCAGGCCGACAAACGCACTTGAAGGTGGGCACACAAGTGTGGTCGAAGTCTAGGCTCGTGAGCCAAATCGAGCGACCCTTCTGGACACAGCCACTCCAACGGTAACTGATCACGACGTGATCCATTTGCTTCCATGGCTAGTTAAAGGCTGGTGGACGCCAAGCCAGTTTCCTGTGGGCGATGTGTCAAAGGTTATTGCTTGCAAGAGACAGATGAGTATCTTCACACAGGTATAGCAACCGTACGCCGTCTGCTATTCTTGTTTGTGGCAAACAGGTCACATTCGGTGTGGCT